TTTTGTTTGTGGACTAAGCTTTTTGAACAACACGGAATGAGAGATAGGCATACATTTATGCGCGGCTAAATAAAACGCAAAAAAAAAGTTTTGCATGAAATAATTCTCATACTAAGTACTTTTGCATGCACAGCAGCACAGAAACATGACAAAACAGTGACACAGCAAAGACGAACTGCTGCTCTTGCTGTTTTCAAAAGACGCAAATGAAGATGCAGCTGTTTGTCTGCATTGCAGACAACCATATCCAAATCCATATCCACAGACAACCATATCCATGCTGGCACATAAAACCTAAGGATGTTCCATATTGAATCTAGTTTCGTTATGTAACTATTTATAGTATAGTAAATATTTATATCTATTTTTTACTGAGGATTTGCACCATGTTTATTTGGACTTTATTTGGACTTTGACACATTATTTATTATTTTCTTATTTTTTTATTTGTTCATTGTAAGTGGTGTTGTTTATAGTAACTGAAAATATATTATTTGGAAAAAGTCAAATTTGCTTCACTGTTCTATTATTTTGTAACATTTGTAACATACGGCAAAACCGTCAAACCGTGGTATTGTTTTAGACGATTATCATACCGTGAAAAATTCATACCGTTACAACCCTACTTGGAGAATATCTAGTTTAATATTATGTGCTTTCATCATGGCAAAGATAAAATAAATCAGTTATTAGAAATGAGTTATTAAAACTAATATGTTTAGAAATGTGTTAAAATAAATCTTCTCTCTGTTAATCTTAACTTGGGTAAAAGATATACTGTACAGGGGGCTAATTATTCAGACTTCAACTGTACATATCACATTATTAAACACTACAAATCTCCCATATTAATATCGAGCACTTGACTCTTAACATGCAAGTCAAAAGCAAAGCATGCTGGCTGTCGAATTTGTCTCTTCATCATGTTCTTGTGCTTGTAATCAAACAGAGAGTCGCTGACATTGATCACACAGACACACGCTCACACGCTCTGTGTGCCTTCATTACGGGTCTCGTTTCGCTCTTTGCTGTGAATTATAAAGTAATAAATGCCACTGGATGCAGGGCTGTGTTTATATATGGTGGCTCTCAGGCTGGTGTGTTGCTGGGCAGAAACTATGCGTCAGTCTGTGTTTCTCTGGCACTCGTTCATGCCTTCGCTGAAACACTGAGCTAATGTGGCGCTTCTAGCAAACACACACCTTTATGTACTCGCATTACAATGTTATACACTTCTTTCAATGAGAAACCATCTATCGTTCACTGCCTTCATCAGGGTCAGTATTGTATTGATGCCTCTCTATGTCAGAATTAAATTCAATTTAATTAGTGGCGACCTCTGAAATGGAGACCAAGCGGATTTAATTTAATTTATTTTAATTTAATTTAATTTAATTTAATTTAATTTAATTTAATTTAATTTAATTTAATTTAATTTAATTTAATTTAATTTAATTTAATTTAATTTATTTTTTGGCGACCTTCGAAATGGAGACTTAGCTGAATAAGTTAAATTAAATTACTGGCGACCTAGAAAAAGACTAAGCTGAATTGAATTTAATTGAAATTAAGTTAAATTAAATTGAATTAGTGGCAACCTCCGAAATACAGACTAAGCTGAATTAAATTGAATTGTATTAGTGGTTACCTTCGAAATAGAGACTAAATGAATTTAATTTAATTTAATTTCTTTTAATTTAATTTAAGGCTACCTCTGGAATAGAGACGAAGCTAAATTAAATGATTAAATTAAATTACATTACTGTGGACCTTCGAATAAATTAATTTAGTGGTGACCTCGAAAAAGAGACTTAGCTGAATTAAATGATTTAATTTAATATTCGAAATGGAGACTAAACTGAATAAATTGAATTAAATTAAATTATTGGCGACCTAGAAATAGACTAAGCTGAATTGAATTGAATTGAAATTAGGTTAAATTAAATTGAATTAGTGGCAACCTCCGAAATTTAGACTAAGCTGAACTGAATTAGTGGCGACCTTTGAAATAGAGACTAAGTGAATTTAATTTAATTTAATTTAATTTAATTTAATTTAATTTAATTTAATTTAATTTAATTTAATTTAATTTAATTTAATTTAATTTAATTTAATTTAATTTAATTTAATTTAAATAGAGGCAACCTCTGTATTAGAGACTAAGCTAAATTATACGATTAAGTTAAATTAAATAAAATAGCATTATTGTCGATCTCTGTAATAAACACTATTATTACACATTAGCACATAAACACATTACTGGCGACCTCGAAATAGAGACTAACCTAAATTAAATTATTTAATATTTAATTTAATTAATTTAAAATGGAGACTAAGCTGAATAAATTGAATTTAATTAAACTAGTGGCTACCGGCGAAATAGAGACTAAGATTAATTAAATTATTACGAAGTTACGAATTATTATGAAGTTAAATTACATTAAATTAAATTAATTTATTTTCAACCACTGAAATAGAGACTGAGCTGAATAAATTAAATCAAATTAAATTATTGCAGTTTATTGTGTTTGGATAATAAATGACTGGTTTGAGTCCCGGCTGGGTTAGTTGGCGTTTCTGTGTGGAGTTTGCATGTTCTCCCAGTGTTGGTGTGGGTTTCCCCCATGTCCTCCGGTTTCCCCCACAGTCCATATACATGTGCTATAGGGGAATAGGGTACGCTAAATTGTGTAAATGGGAGTGTATGGGCGTTTCCCATTGATGGGATGCAGCTGAAAGGGCATCCGCTGTATAAAACATAAGGATAAGTTGGCGGTTCATTGATTTAAAAATAATTTAATTTAAATTAAATTAAATTAAAAAATAATTTAAAACAAATAAATTTAAATAAAACACAGTTAAAGAAATAAATAATTAAATATAGAAATAGAAAATACATTTAAAATCTAAATAAAATGAAATTATATCAATTAAAGCAAAATTAAAATAAAGTAAATTTAAAAATTAAAAGTAAATAAAATAATTAGATAAAAAATTAAATAATATGAAGTAAATATCATCATAACATGGATTTTGGTATGATATGTCATCTAAATTGTACTCTGTAATGCAGTTTCTTTTACTTCCCTTAAGGGGGCTAATAATATTGACCATAAAAAGGTTTTTAGATTAAAAACTGCTTTTATTCTAGCCGAAATAAAGCAAATACTTTCTCAAAACTTTCTCCAGAAGAAAAAACATTATAGGAAATACTGTGAAAAATTCCTGAATCTGTTCAACATCATTTGGGAAATATTTACAAAAGAAAAAAGTATTTAGAGTAGGGCTTATGATCATGACCACAACTTTGTACAACATTGTAAAATCTCCAGGGTAAATTGTGCAGACGTCATTCCTGCACCACACGACCAACTATAACCCAACAGATGAGCAGTGTGTGTGCGTGCGTGTGTGAATGGCAGCTGGTGAATCATGTGACTCAATCTTCACAATAGAGGAAAGCAGATCTGCAGCAGATCAGGGGAAACCCAGGAAACTTCATACATGAGCGTTCACTGCAGCAATCACAGTCAACGTGATCTCTGTGCTCTACAAACCTTTGTTCAGCGTCATTGATTACAGGGGGTTTGTGCTCTGATTGCACAATTAAAAAAAACAACTAAAAATCCAAAGTGCCAGCAGGGCAGATCTGACAGGCTTTGAGCTGTGAGTGTTTGTTTGTTTGTTGGAGAGTTTTAGATTGAAAAGAGGAAACGGGGATTTGTGGATTTGCCCTGTGAGCATTTTTGTGGTTTCTGTCTGTTTGGATGTGTGCAAAGATAAATGAATTAAAACATGTGTGTGATTAAAAAGATGACAAACACTTTATTAAATGACATTAATCTATATACATATATAGGTGTAATACAGTTGTATATGAAATACAGTTGAAGTCTGAACTATTAGCCCTCCTTTGAATTAATTTTCTATTTTAAATATTTACCAAATGATGTTTACCAGGGCTAGGAAATTTTCACAGTATGTCTGATAATATTTTTTCTTCTGGAGAAAGTCTTATTTGTTTTATTTCGGCTAGAATAAAAGCAGTTTTTAATTTATTAAACACCATTTTTAAGGTCAAAATTATTAGCCCCCTTAAGATAACTTTTTTCGATAGTCTACAGAACAAACCATCGTTATACAATAACTTGCCTAATTATCCTAACCTGCCTAGTTTACCTAATTGACCTAGTTAAGCGTTTAAATGTCTTAAAAAATATCTTGTCAAATATCATTTGATCACTGTCATTATGGCAAAGATCAAATCAGTTATTTAATTCAGCTAATAATTCAGAAGGGCTTATAATTCTGACTTTAACTATATATATATATATATATATATATATATATATATATATATATATATATATATATATATATATATATATATATATATATATATTTATTTATTTATTTATTTATTTATTTATTTATTTATACAACATTTCTGTATGGTTCTCGAATCTGATTGGCTGATAGCCATGATATATTTAAGTAATATCAGCACCCGTACAGCCTCTTTACCCTTTGTGTATTACTCCGCCCACATACAGCAACAAGCAGACACTACAGATCTAAAGTGTAAAAGATGCACGCTCAACTATTCTGTCAGCTTATGATTTGAATCCAAGGCGGAAGAAGGTAGTTCCTCATACAAAAGGGTTTTTGAAACTCTCCATATTTGATTTTCTTTTTATATACACAATTATGCCGTCAAACTGTTGTATAAATGCAATATCACACTCGTAGCAGTGTGGCTGTATATCGCTGATATGGCTGTATATCGGCACTGGTTGGGGCACTAAGGCACTCGGCCAACGCACGCCCCCCCCAGTGCCGATATACAGCCATATCGCACTGCTACTCATGTGATATAGCTCACATTTATATATATATATATATATATATATATATATATATATATATATATATATATATATTGAAATCACAGACCTTTTTACAGTACATGTCTGATTTATCCCATGTCTTTATCCCAACAGTGGAACCTGGTCTGTGACTCTGCCTGGAAAATTCACATCGCCAAGTTTTCTCTGTTGGTGGGCTCCATCTTTGGATATTTGGTGTTGGGAGTTCTGGCAGATTGGTAAGTGTTTTCTTTGAGATCTTAATGTAAAACATTAAGAAGTACGAGTATTAAGAATACACTATATTTTATCAATGGTCTTTATATATATACATATATATATATATATATATATATATATATATATATATATATATATATATATATATATATATATATATATATATATATATATATATATATATTCACATGCTTTTTTGAGAAAATTTTTATTATATATTTATTATATTTTTATATAGATTTTTAATTATTATAGTTTTTTATTATTATTAAAATAATATATTTGAATTTTTATTTTATTTTAACATTTATTATCTAATACTAATTCTATATAAATATACATGTAAATATTTTGATTATGTTTTTGTTAATTTACAGTATATTTTTATATATACACAATATGTATAGACAGTGAGTACACACATTAGGTAAATACAAAAATACAACTTTTATTTTAGATGCGATTTGATTCCAATTAATTGTTTAAAACACCAATGACCTGATGAATAATTAATGAAGTGCTCATATTAAAGTGAAGATTTTGTAGTTGACTAATGGCCAAAAACTATATGAAATGTATACGTATAGTATAATGCAATGGTTCAAAGTATGTGGATATAAAAGTAGCTGATGATGACAGAATGATCATTTTTAGGGTCTTATTTTTTTAAATGAATAATAAAAGCAGCTGATATTTTGTAAATCTCCTGCTCTTTTCGACTTGCAGGTTTGGCAGGCACCCGGTCTTGATCCTATCGGTGGTTTTCCTGCTAGTTTTCGGCATGACGGTGGCTTTCTCTGTCAACCTCCCGATGTTCGGCACACTGCGCTTCTTTGAGGGATTTTGCTTGGCTGGAATCACATTGTCTCTCTATGTACTGAGTGAGTACCGACTCCATTGTTATTGTTAAGACTCAAAAATTCAAAATCCAATTACTAAATTCCATCACAATTCGTGAATACACAAATCTAATTCGTAAATTCAAAACACAATTTCTAAATCCAAAGCACAATTAATAAATACGACAATCCAATTCGTTAATTCAGACACAATTTCTAAATTCAAAGCACAATTTGTAAATACGCAAATCCAATTCGTAAATTCAAAACATGATTAGTAAATCAAAAACACAATTCATAAACATGAAAATCCAATCCGTAAATTCAAAGCACAATTTGTAAATATGCAAAACATAATTCGTATTTTCAAAACCCAATTCGTAAATACAAAAATCCAATTTGTGAATTCAAAACACAATTCATAAATAGGCAAATCGCAATTCGTAAATTCAAACACAATTTTTAAATTCAAAACAACTCATGAATACGCAAATCCAATACGTGAATTCCAAACACAATTTGTAAATACGCAAATCCTATTCTAAAAAAATATATATATAAATACACAAAACATTGTTCATAAATTCAAGCACATTTAGGGAATTCAAAACAATTCATAAATACGCAATTCCATTTCGTAAATTCAAAACACAGTTTGTAAATACGCAAAACATGATACGTAAATTTAAAACATGATTCATAAACACGCAAATGCAATTGGCAAATTCGTAAATTCTAAAACACAATTTCTATATCCAAAGCACAATTCGTGAATACAATCCAATTTGTAAATTCAAGACACAATTTGTAAATACGCAAATCCAATTCGTAAATTCAAACATGATTAGTAAATTCATAACACAATTCATAAACGTAAATCCAATTCGTAAATTCAAAATACAATTTGTAAATACGCAAAACATAATTCGTATTTTCAAAACCCAATTCGTAAATACAAAAATCCAATTCATAAATTCAAAACACAATTCATAAATGGGCAAATCGCAATTCGTAAATTCAAAACACAATTTGTAAATTTGCAAAACATAATTCATAAGTTTAAACACAATTATTAAATTCAAAACAACTCATAAATACGCAAATCCAATACGTGGATTCCTAACACAATTTGTAAATCACAAAACACAATACGTAAATTTAAAACGTGATTCATAAACATGCAAATGCAATTCGTAAATTCTAAACACGGTTCGTAAATGCACACATCCAATTAATCCGCAAATTGTGTTTTAAATTTACGAATTGGATTTTGTAAATGTGAACTGTGCTGTGTGTGTATGAGTTTTATTTTTGTAAATTTAATACTTTTGAGACTCATCATTTCTCCATAAGATTCCAGTGTGTTTGTTGACCGCAAACTGTCGTAAAAGCACACGTCTGGTCCGAGCCCCTCCCCTGGAGAATCGTCAGTTGATACCAATCGATGATTGGTTCCTGTACTAGTAGGCGGGGCTTCATCCGCCATATTGACCGTTAGGCTTTTCCAATTTAAAACTATATGAGAGACACGTCTTGTGTATTCTAGAGTCTTCGCTTGTAATCAGGATTTTTCAAGACGTTTATTTGACAGATTTTCAATACCGATAAGCCAAGAAAACACGCAAGATGTCACGTCCGGTCCAAACCGTGGGTTGTGTCCGAGTCTGTGAAAAGTCAGACCTTACTGTCCTAATTAAACAATTAATAATCAAGGAATGTTCATATTTTATTGTGCTCAAATAAGCGTCATCTAGAGGTCTTTGCCTTTCATATAAGACACTTCTGATACCAAATGATCAACTAGGAGTCAAGTTATTATCTGTTGTTCTTAAAGCTTGGATAGGCAGTGTATATGGTGGTATAATATATACAAGCATTACATTGGCCATCCTTTTTACTAGATATTGTTGTCGGCCCTTTAAAAAAATAGTTTGATGTTTAAATGTATTCCATATTACAGTGGCTTCAACATAAGCAAGAAATAAGTTGATGATTTTAGGTGAACTCCGCCATCATGGAGGAGTTTTGCGCTCGGCGTTATTGATTTTTAGTTTGAGACGGCATCTAATGGAGTATATGTGATTTATTCTCTCCTCACAGAAAGGTCTTGGATGGAGGTTAATCGTGTTCTCTCGACTCTATCGCGCAGTCTTCAGTTTGTTCAGGTCATTCAGACGGATTACTCGCAGGCTGACGGTCACCTTCCACATGCTTAACAGTGGAGACATTATTTTCTGATGAGTGATAATCCTCTTTGGATGACTGCCGTTGCTCGGCTCCTCCGTTTATAAGGCGTCTGATGGCCCTCAAGAAACTGTGGCTGTGTTCTTGGTGTATTGTGTATGTCTTAGTCATTTCCTAAATCGTACTCAAAAGGTTTCCGATAGATAGACACAGCCTGGACGATTGGTGACCAGTGTTTCTCAACCATGTTCCTGGAGGACCACCAGCTCTACACTTTAATCTGATAAATTCAGATCATCAGCTCATTAGCAGAGACTGAAGGAGCTGTAGTGGGTGTGACAGACAAAGGAGACATCCAAAACATGCAGTGCTGGTGGTCCTCCAGGAACATGGTTGAGAAACACTGCTTTAGACTATCCTCAAATTTAAACACTTTTTTTAAATTAAAATTATGCTCATTTTGCAATTTTACATGCACTGAAAAAAGTCTCATTGGATCAACTTACTTACATAAATGACTTCAACTTCTTACACCTAAAAGATTAACGTTTTTCCAACCTATTTATTAAGTGGAAACCAATTAATAAAATAGCTAAACACTTCATTCACGTTGTTGTAACAAGCTGAAGAGTTCTCACTTTTAACAGTGTGGTTCAGGAGGAAAGTTTATTAATTATAACACCATAACGAGAGTATTTCTTATTGCCATATCTGCTTTGAAAATAAATAACTGTTCATTTTTGTTGGTCTTAGCACTCGGTGTTACTATTAAAGAGTCAAGCTTTAAATAGGAATAATTATCTAAAGTCTTTGGTAATAATTAAGTCAGTAATTAAGTGATTAGATGCTAATGGTCTAATCCGATTCAATAATCTATGCTAAGCTAAGCTAAAAGTGCCACAGTCAGGCCCAGAGATTGGCTCATTGTATTCAAAAAATGGTAAATCTCGATTGTTTAACTCCAGAGGAGCTGTAAAAGTGTTGCTTTAAGCTGCAGGCCACAAATATTTTGCTCATAAATAGGGAGTAGCAATTAATTCAAAGGGATTTTGTTCTTAAGTCCAGTTCTAGTAAGCTTCGGATGATTATTATAAACATTTAAAGGTTTTGACTTAAAACAATCTTAAGAAAAAAAGAAGATTAAGGAGACTGTTAAAGGACTACAAAAGAGAATGTTTCTTGAACCTGCCAGATTTTAACAAGGCTCTTAAACGCATGCAGATTAATTTATTTTCATTTTTTTGCAACATTTTTTTGTTCATAAAAATAGAGATTAGGAATTAATTGGAGACCGACAAGTAAATCCGGTTCTAGTAAACCTCCAGTGATTTTTATTAAAAAAATTTGGGGGAATTTAAGTCAAGTTTTAACTTAAGAACAATCTTAGAGAAAAAGAAAACAGGACCAATCTCAAGAAGACTTTTTTAGCAATACCAAATCATTATAACTTTTATTTTAAAACTATTTACTGTAACAGGATGTATACCAGGAATTCCCCAGAGTTTAACAAGGCTTTTAAACGCATACAGATGTATATTTTTATTTTTTGGTTTAAAGATATGCATTAGCAATTATTGAACGACAAATTTTCTTAGTCAAACGGATTCTGGTAAACCTCCAGTGATTTTTATGAGGATTCTTTTGAAGAATTTAAGTCAAGTTATAACTTTTTGATCTTGGAGAAAAAGAAAATACGACGATTTATAAGAAGACTTTTTTAGCAATAACAATAATTATAACTTTTTCTCTTAACTATTTAATCAAATGTTTCAGGAATCCAGCAGCCAGAGTTTAGCAAGGCTTTTAAACCCATAATTAATAGCTTTTCCAATAATAAAACAGGGATTAGCTATTAATCAAAGGTGATTCTGTCTGTAAATCTGGTTTAAATAAACCTCCTATGAATTTTTATAAGCATTCTGTTGAAGAATTTGAGTCGAGTTTTTACTTAAGAACAATTTTTAGGAACACAAAATATTCATAACTTTTCTCTTTACTATTTAATAGACTGTTTCATGAATATAAACAGTTATGAAGATTTGTTAGTAATACCAAATGGTTATTAATGTTTATTTTAAAGCTATATTGTAATATGATGTATATCATGACTTTATCAAGACTTTTAAATGCATGCAGATGTATATATTTTTTATTTTTTGCACATTTTTCTTTGGTTTAAAGTTAGGGGATTAGCAATTAATGAACAGCGAATTTTGTCTGTCAAAGCGATTCAAGTAAAGCTCCAGTGATTTTTGAAAAATCCAGTGATTTTTTAAAATCTGGTTTAAGTAAACCTCCAGTGATTTTATAAGCATTCTGTTGAAGAATTTAAGTCGAGTTTTGTCTTAAGAATAATTTTTTGGAACACAAAATATTCATAACTTTTCTTTCTAATAGACTGTTTTGTGAATATAAACAGTTCAGAACATTTTTAAGAAGATTTGTTAGTAATACCAAATGATTATTAATGTTTATTTTAAAACTATATTGTAATATAATGTATATCATGAGGTTATCAAGGCTTTTAAACACATAAAGATGTATATTTTTATTTTTTTGCACATATGTTTTGGTTTAAAGATAAGGATTAGCAATTAATGAACGGCAAATTTTCTTAGTCAAACGGATTCTGGTAAACCTCCAGTGATTTTTATGAGCATTCTGTTGAAGAATTTAAGTCGAGTTTTAACTTAAGAACAATCTTAGAGGAAAAGAAAACGGGACCATTCATAAGAAGACTTTTTTAGCAATACCAAATGATTATAGATTTTTTTCTGAACTATTTAATTAAATGTTTCAGGAATCCAGCAGCCAGAGTTTAGCAAGGCTTTTAAACCCATAATTAATAGCTTTTCCAA